GCAACCCGAAGGTATATCAACAAAATATTCAAAATTCTCACGCAAGCAAACATAGAAGCAAATATCAACTTGCAATTAAAACCAATACTCCAAATAGAGAAATTAATTCCTAAATTTCTAGCACAAGCAATGATTACCCCTTCATGGTAACCCCAATCCTAATGTCACCCCACAAGAAGACGCGCTAATGCTGAAATTTAAACGGGACAAGCCAATTTACCAGAGCGGACCTATTCGAGTCCGTAAATTATGAGAGAAGCAAACTTATCACTTTAGGGCCACTACTATTCCCCCTAAAGTCTCCAACAACTGTAGCAACCAACCGATCAAAAATTGAATTACGAACGCGGGGCAAAATCATTCAGATTTCAATGTATACCCTGGACCAGAAAACTAACAACACAAAATTATTAGAAATGTCAAAATAAAGATTCTGTCAGAAGGAATTTTCACGAAGGAGCCCCCACACGCTGCCACTCGCAGCCAAGATCATTGCGCGTGGGGTTCACGCGCAGCTGCCACTCGTCGCCGCCATCCTAATGCTCCTGCCACCCAGCTACGCCACCACCTGCTAATGCCTCCTGTGGTGTTGGATTCTTCAAATGGTCACTGTTTTGGTCGGAAAACAAGTTTTCAGGTCTGGCTAAAAACTTGAAAAATTGACAGATTTTTCCTTCCTGTTTCCTCTGCGATTCTGGGCAGTTTCTGCTCAATTTTATGGCCTGAAATCCACCCCAACCCGCTTTGATACCAAATGTTAGAAAATGGATTCCAAATTTCACCAAAACCAGGCTCAATTTACCAACCAAATCGACACCCAAGCAATCGAACCCAAACCTTCAAACGATTCCTCACTTGGTTGCTATCGATTTGCCCACTTAGGACACAAAAGGGAAAAGTGTTTGTAGCCACAAAGGCTAAGAACATTGAGAAGATAACAAGACAAGCTACAAGCCAGAAGCACAAAGCACACAAGGAGGCAGCCGAGTCTTTCTCTCAATTTCAAGGAAAAACACACTTCCAAATGACCAAGCCAACAAAAGGGAAATATATAGGATCACTTAGGGTATAGTAATGAGCCGGCCCAACAAGGAGATAATAAGTGGGCCAAATAAGCCATCTACTAAGTGAGGAATCAGGTCATGAGCAACTCTAATTAATTACACTGCTTCCAATTGCCCCAAATAATTTTAGGGTCGGGTCATCAATCTTAGGTGTTTATATAATACTTATCCAATATCGATTTTATATCATCACCCTGATTTATTGGGTATCAAAAAATCCAACAAACCCAATATGACTAAAAACTTGTGTATAACCATCTTACTATGAACTTAAATTTAGTCTTCAATGCATCCCTTCAAGTAGACGCCAGACTACCAAAGTCATATACAATTTTTTTTATAAATAGGTAGCGATGAGACTTGCAATTACATTGAGTCTTCGCACGGGTTAATAATATATTTTCGAAGTTTCATTTTGTCTTACCAAAAATAATACTCTCCCTTCAT